CCTTTGGGCCGAGGGATCCCTCCGGACGTTTATCTGCACTTCGATAATCCACGTCCTGAGGTTCTGCCTCGCGCCGGTCGTCGCGGCGCCATGTCCGGTGCCTTGGGTTCGGCTTCTGCTGGCTGTTTTTGTTCAGCAGCTGGGTGAATTCGCCCAAGTACCCCTGGCGGATCAGCTCGTCGATTGCTTTCTTCAATTGGTTGCAATTGTCCGTCAGGTGGCCGGCCCTCTGATGGTACTCGCAGTAGGCCGATTGGTCAAGCCCCATATGCTTCTTCATATCTTGGGGTTCCATCAGGAGGCCCTTGTCCTTTATGGCCTCGAAGATCTGGCTCACTGGATAGGCCAATGGGATATAGCGGTCGTCCGGCCGCGTCTGACTGTCTCCGGACGGAGCCTTCCAAGGGACCATCGCTCCGTCCACCCTCTTCTTTTTGCTTGGGGGTGAGGGCCCGGGTCCTGGTTTGGGTCCGAGCCTGTCCGCCATCTTCCTTGGCTGGGCCGCGGGAACTTCGTCCCGCTGCCTGATCTCCTCCTCAATGGAGGCATACTTCTGGGCCCGAGCCAGAACTTCGGTGTAGCTGGTGCCGGGATTCCTCCTTAGGTCCCGGTATAGATCTCCTGTGGCCAGCGCACTGGTGAACATGTTGGTGGCCAGACGTTCGTCCAGATCGTCGACCTGCAGGACCTCATCCCTCCACCTTACCAGGAACCTAGCCAGCGGTTCGTCCCGCCCTTGTTTGATGTGGGCGAGAGCCGTGACGTCCTTCCTGGGGGTGGTACTGGCGGCAAACTGCGCCATGAACTGCCGGGAGAGTTGTTCATATGAGTCGATGGTGCCCGGCCTCAACTGGCCGAACCATTCCTGCGCCGGCCCCCTGAGGGTGCTGAAGAACAATCTGCAGATGGCCTCGTCCGATGCTCCCAGCATGGACAGGTTCCCTTGGTAGCTTATCAGATGGGCCTTAGGATCGCCAGCCCCATTATACACCAGGTTACCCGGGGGCCTGCAGTCCCGGGGAATCTCGACGCTCATCACTCGTGGAGTAAAGGGTGATGTGAGGGAGAAAGAGGGTGTGGCCGAGCCGACGTCTGTCCGTCTATTCATCTCGGCTATCTTCCGTTCCATTGCTTCCATCCTTGCGTCCTGTGCGGCCCTTCCGGGGGACACAGGGGGCGCGGCTTCGGGGACGGCATTCTGCTGAGCGGCCACAGCATCGTGAAGCCGCCTAAAGATCTGTGCACCTCGCCGTTGGAAACGTCGTCCAACGGTGTTGATCCTCGGGGTTTCGTCTCCCCGTGGGATTTGGCGGGGAACCGATGGTGTGTGAGCCCTGGACGCAGCGATGCTGACCCTGGTTCGCCCTCCCGTTTCACGGGAGCCTGAACCCCCACCCAGCCGCTCATGGACTGAGGGCCGGTGGTCGCTGGATCCCGTCGTATCATCATACGACTGCATGCGGCGAATGGGAGAGAGGGGCGTTCGCTGGGTGCTCGCAGAGTACACCTGATCTCGGGCCTCCCGTTCGTCTGCCAGACGACGCATGGTGTCAGCGATTTCCCGCATGAGGCGGGGATCCTGCCTGGCCTCAAGGGGAATGAGGTCAGTGATGCCCCCGTTTCCCCCGGAGGTCCATATTGTGGCGGACAGTTCCGAGTTCTGGCCGCAATTCCGGCGGCTTGACTCCAGACGTTCGGAGATATCACGCTGGTTGTTGCTTCCTGACATCGTGTTTGCTGTAGGTAGACTCAGTAGCTGTTTGGGAGAGTTTCTGGAAACTTTTTGTTCAGTTTCCCACAGACGGCGCCAGTGTTGAGGTTTATTCCTTCAACCCTTGGACCCAACACGTAAGCCCAAAGATTTCGGGTGGAGTGAGTGTATGAATATCTAGCCCAACAACTATCAGATGGATCAGGAAACAAAAGAAATAGCAGGCAATGTAAATAGGTATTATTAACTTCGTAATAACTCCCCTAAATACAATCTACTTGCTAAAAAGGCACGTCGGTCGTTCGTCTTACAAGGCAGTTAGTAATGCTGCGAGTAAGAATGCTATAGCTAGAGTGCTAAGAATAGAAAGTTGCCAACCCTTTACAATGAAATAAATGCTTCTATTTATACCCACCAATGGGCAGGTGGCTATACTGACGTGGCAGCCTGTGGACCGCTGGTGCCCCAACCACCAAATCTTCAGCATTAAATGCACTTCCCGCCAGAATCTAGGTTTCCCGCCCAATCAGTGGGGACGTTCGTCCGCCCGGGAAGTGAGTTGGATCGCCCCAAGTGACCCTCAGGAGATGCCGGCTGTTCGTCCCCTGGCCTTGTAGATATTCACCATGTGGACTGGGTTTCCTCCGATGACTTATAGGCTTGCCATGGGGACGTTCGTCGTCATCTCTGGAGGCCCGTGGCCCTGCTCTTTGTCCCTACATTGACGTTCGTCGGGAGGAGCCGCTGGGCCTGAATCCCCAACCCCAGATGTTCGTCTATCCTCAAGGAACATGGGCCTATGGGCTGGCCTAGTGTTCTAACTGGACGTGCGTCTGGCAAAATGGGTTAGTGGGCCGGACCTCGGCTTGGGCCCTTAACCCAACAAACTCTATCATTTTTTTTAAAATATAATCTGCATTTTTGTTTATACAATGCATAGTCGTAATTATGAGATCATAAAAAAAAACTATATTTTTATACTAATTATGTTTTAAAACACCACGTACACATTTTTATGTTTATAAGTAGATCAATTCGGATAGAAAAGGAGTTTCATTGTGTTTAAGACTTGTTAACTTTAAACAGTTTCATTATAGGAAAATTGTAAAAAAATTGAAAATTTCAAAATTGGATTGTCATATTTATATTCCCAAAATAGGAGTAATTACTGTCATGTTTAAAGTCTGGTACTGCCAAAACATGATACGTAGTAGTAATTAGTCATATTTTGGGAATAAAAACACGATAATCCTATTTTAAAATATACAAATGTTTTAATCCTATTTAAGGTGATTTCCCTTTTATCAACCAAGATTTTTTAAACTAGATTGCCTTCCCGATTGAATATTTAGCTGAAATTTGCTATGGGTAAACTTAATGAAGAATATACTCAAAAAAATTCATAAACAAATTCTACCGTGAAAGTTCTGAAATGCCCTCGGCCGGACGGATTCATAAACAAACTAGACATGAAAATTTGTCACTATATTGATATACTCTCATACATGCAATATATTGACATAAATACGTGTAATAGCTTTTTTTCACTACAAAAAATACGAGATTGACAGAGATCTATGGTAGGATTCACCAAAATTAGCAAGGATTTTGACAAGGATATGCAAAATCCGTGCTAAAAACAGTTTGGCACGAGCTATTTGGTATGAAATTATCGATAAATCCGTGTCAATTCCATATTTTTTTTGTAGTGTTGAAAGAATATTAACTTATATTCACAATTAAAAAGTGCTAATATTATTTATGGGCGATAGATTTTAGTTATTACATTTGGGAGGTATATGCCATTTATTTATTTATTTATTTATTTATTTATTTATTTATTTATTTATTTATTTATTTATTTATTTATTTATTTAAGTGTTATATGCAAATTATTAACTACGATTATTATTACATTTAGAATGGTGTATAACAATATTCTTTTTACATGTTAAAAGAGACTTAATTTATATAGCATGAAGTACAAAAGACAGATGTCAACCATTTATAAATGTGAATAGTTAAAGTCTAGAAACCCCCTAATCAAAATAATATGGTTTCAACTTGTAATAAATGTGAAAAATGGGTAACAAATGTCAATATTGCATTCATTAAAAGTCCATGTCTTTCTCGAATAACAATAAATCTGCTGTGAATTTTAAAAAAAAAAACAATGTTTTTAATTGGATTAAAATTTTACCTAGTATATTTTTAAGTAAGATTTTTTAAATTTATCTTGGCCAGACCTAATTAAGCTTGAGATCGAACTGTTCTAATTAAAATTGATTTTTTAAAAAATATTCCTAAAATAAAACGTATTTACACAAATATGAATAATAATTACTGCAATGTAGTGTCATGGTAACTAAAGTTTAAAAATTGAGCATAAGTTATTATGATTTCATTACTACTTTAGTCACTAGTCACATTTTTGTAACCAATTTTTATTTTAGTTATAAATATGTAATTATTTCAATTAAAAACACCCTAATAGTTTATACTCCACATATGACTATTAAATCATTCTTTCCGATATATAAAAAAACTATTAGATCATTGATAGTTAGATACCAAAAGACTAATGCGATGTAGCAACATACAAAAAAAACAGCCGATTTGTCACGGATTTTTGTCAAGGATTTTGTCACAAATTTGTCTCTCCTGTCACCAAAAACCTTGGTCACGGACGAAATCTGTGACAAATTTGTACTGGCAGACTTCGGACCTTATTGTCACGAACGCCGGCCGTGACAAAGCTTTGTCACGGATAACGTTCCGTGACAACATTTTGTCACGCCCAAATGATCACGGGAAAAATCCGTGACAAAGTTGTTAGTCACGAATTTTTTTAACTACGGTCCGTGACAAATTCAGTGACAAGGTTAGGTGACTGTTATTTTGTAGTGTAGATTAGTGAGATATTTGATTGGTTTGTTGAACTAGCTAGCTAGTTAGTAGATTAAATTCAAGTTCGTTTAATTTAATCCAAGTGTCTTATGGATTAGATGAATGGCTCAAAGAATTCGTGAATTGACAAAAAAATAATACCCGAATGTTTTTTTTTAAAGGAACACCCGAATGTTAATCCTGAAATAATTAGTTACACACGAAATTGCTTAGTAATTGTTTTTCTCAGACTCGACTCATTTTTAAGTAAAGGTGTTTGAAATGTGGGTGTTCTTTCAAGGTCAAAAGAGTATATAATAATTACGCGCAAATATAATGATGAACATCAAAGAAGAATGATCAAAAGATTGAGAATTGAAACGAAAGTCAAGAAAGGGAAGGCTTGAAATGTTGACATTTGGAATTCTTTTGCTAATACTTAGGCCACTCATCCTTGAATCATGCCTATAAGTAGAGACACAACTTCGGCAATTATCTCACAACTCACTAAACCAGTTTAGTTTACAACAATTTTGCTCAAATCTTTAGCTCTTTTTTCATATACACTAAGGCCAAAAACACACAATGGGTGTGACTACCTATACCGATGAAGTGACAACTCCCATTGCAGCTGAAAGATTGTTCAAAGCTTTCTTTGTGGAGTCAAACAACCTCTTCCCAGAGCTGTTGCCAGGACTTATTAAGAGCATCAAATTTATTGAGGGTGAAGGTGGTGCCGGAACCATTAAGCAGATCGAATACCTTGAAGGTTAGTAATAATTAATGAATGAATGAAATAGGGTCTTGGCTAGCTGTTAATAAGTAATCCTGATATATATAAGCATCATCTGATCCGTTACTATGCCACCAACCAATTTAACTGTTATGGACGCCTACAAAAGTTTGAAATGGATTTCTGGGTAACAAGAAGTTCATTACAAGTTCAATGACAGTTTCCTTCATAGTAAAGTTTGTTAAATGGTAACATGTGTGTATGTGTGAGTAATTTTCAGTGTTTGGGTTATTTTGGCTGTTTGATCCCTCGCGATCTGAAGTTATAGAGCGGGTGTACAACAAATTGTCATTCTAAAAGTCGGGCTCTTTTAGATGCGCATTCATATAAGTGTAGTTACATGTCCAGTTTACTTAATAAATAGGTAGAATGTTTCTCAGCGTCTAACCCAACCATCGTGGCTGTATTGAAAAAAAGAAGAAAATAGCTAGTCACAAGTTCGGGTTTATGTTTTTTTTGTACACGGGTTAATTGATCTCGTTTGTGAACTTATTTTAATATGAAGTATTATTGATTGGATGGTCTTACATTGTGAATACTTGTTGTCTTATTTTGAAATCACAGGAGGCACATGGAAGAACATGAAAACCAAGATAGATGAGTTTGATGTGAAGAATTTGGTGTGCAAGTACAGCATTTTCGAGGGAGATATGGTTGGAGGCGAGCTTGAGACTATTTCCTACGATGTGAAGATTGAAGCTTGTGGCGATGGAAAGTGTACTTGCAGGACCATAAGCAAGTATCACACCAAGGGTGATTCTGTCATTAATGAAGAGGAAATGAAGAGAGGCAAAGAGAAATCTGAGGCAATTTTCAAGGCTGTTGAAAAGCACTTGGTCGAAAATCCAACCATTTACGCTTAACTAAACTTACTTGTTGTCTTGGATCAATTCCACTTCCATGAGTGTGCTAGTGTGATCATCGTCTTTGAATTAAATAAGGAATTGAATGTGTTTGAGTTTGAGTTTTCGTCTCTTCATACAACATATGCTATGTGCATTCTAGCATTAAGTGTCCTTATAACATGATAACACAGCATTTGCTTTAGTGTGTAATACTCCGTAATATATATTGTATGAAGTTTTGTTTACAAGTAAATGAAAATGACCTTTCCATGTCTGGTATGACCCTCTTGGGCAAGAGCGGCATGGCAAGCTCCTTTGTAATCTGGGGTTGGCTTAAAATGTTAAAAAAACATCATGGTTCAAACAGAAAATAACAAGCACATATCCAAGTCTCAGACAGTTCAGTTCTAAAGCGCAACACCGTGAAATTCACAGAAAATTGGCATCTTTCTAATAAACAATTCCACAGCAAAAAGAAAAGGTCAACCTCTATGTTAGTTAGATGTTTTTAATTGGATTGAAATTTTCCAGTCCAGTGTGATCTAATTTGGTATGTCTTGTTTAAGTCTAGTGTGGTCTAGTAGATATCTAATCTCCCGTGCATATAACACTTTCTAGAGTTCATGCCAAGTGCGACAAAAAGATGAGAAGAAATGCTTAGGGATTTTCTGTATCAAAACATGTCTTCTACAGGCTGGGGCATTTTACCCATGTGAAAAAGGTTTTTTCTTGGATAATAATCATAACTAGGGTAAACTTGAAGGAGTTATTGTATATCATATTTGGGGAATGCAAATAAATGGTTTCTCTCCATGTATACTTAACAGAGACACTTCAGATCATTCTCCTGTTTTGCTAAAAAAAAAATGAAAAAGTGCGTAAATCCCATATATGATTCTATCATCCTTCAGATTCCAAATATGTGGGTTTCTTATGAGGATTCTCTAATACTCTCTCTGAATCCTGTAAGGTTCCTCAGGTCCAATTTTCTAGAGGTATATAGTCCTTTTATTTTAAGTCAGAAATGCTTAGTCTTGAGTAAAAACAGTTTTGGTGATAAACTTGATGGATTCAACATCTACTTCTATCAATCTTGCTGGGAAATAATCAAGGACTTCTTGGAAGCTGAAAAAGATTTTTTTAATGGGGATCATTCCTAGAGGGATTACTGCCATTCCCTTATTCTTATTCCTATAAAGGTAAACCATTAGAAGGACTCTAGGCCAATCAGACTGAATAATGTTTTTGGCAGACTCATTTCACTCAATCAGAGTGGTTTTGCTCAAAGATCCATAGTTGAGAATGTTTGCTTTCCCTGGAAATGATACACCAGTCTTGGAGGCTTTAGAGGGGGGATGTTATTTTGAAGCTGATGATAAAAAATCTTATGATAGAGTTAAATGTAAGGTCTGTATCAAGTCCTTAAAAATTAAAATATGGCTTTAATGAAAGCTGGATCTCAGTTCTAAGTGAAAGATGAATTAGTAACTACGTTTTTTCAGTTCTTATAAATGGGAAACTGGAGGAATTTTCATGGCATCAAGAGGATAGAGCCATCATAGAGGCAAGTTACCCTCTATGTTGCACCGATACTTCACCTCGATGCCGTATCCGCGTATCCGATATGTATCCGTATCCGATACTCACTGATACGCGTCCTGTATATATTGGGTCCGTATCCGTAATTTAATAAAAGTATCGGGCTTAATTTTAAAAATACCGATACTTCCGATACCCGTATCCGTGAACCGATACGAGTATCTGAACCTATAACCCCTCATTTGATACACAACAACAACAACAACAACAACAACATCCAAGCCTTAGTCCCAAACGATATTGGGGTCGGCTAACATGAATCGATACATGATATCATCCAAAAGAAAAGAAAGGAAATAAAGATAAAAAAGATAAGCTATTATAAAAAAGATAATATAAAATAGATGAATATACATATAAAAGATAAAATAAAATGATAAAGTAATGTTTATATATAAGGATAAAAATATAAAAGAAAAAGAAAAAGAAGAAGAAGAAGAAGAAAAGAGGGGAAAAGATGATACAATATCACTCCTCCACACGAATACCCGCCCTCCATTTCGCTCTCTCCAAAGCCATACTCTCATCCAATCCAAGAAGAAGCATATCACTTCTGACTCCCCTAGCCCACGTCTGTTTGCGCCTTCCTCTCCCTCTCTTTCCTGCCTCTTCTCCACACATCTCCACTCGTCTGACAGGTGCATCAATCGGTCTCCTATGCACATGACCAAACCATCGTAGGCGCGACTCCCGCATCTTATCTTCAATAGGTGCTACTCCCACCCTTTGTCTGATTGTCTCATTCCTCACACGATCCTTTCTAGTATGCCCGCACATCCAACGCAGCATGCGCATCTCTGCCACACTCATCTTTTGAATGTGACATTGTTTCACCGCCCAACACTCCGTGCCATACAGTAGTGCAGGCCTAATTGCTGTCCTATAAAATTTACCCTTCAGTCTAGTCGGCATACCTCGATCACATAGAAATCCTGACGCACTCTTCCACTTCATCCACCCTGTTCTGATTCTATGGGATACATCTCCATCTAACTCACCGTCCTTCTGAATTATGGAGCCCAAGTAACGGAACATATTGCTGACCGGTATCTCCTTACCATCTAAAGTAATTCCGCTATTACCACTGCTTCTACCTCCACCAAACTTGCACTCCATGTACTCTGTCTTGCTCCTACTTAGTCTGAAACCCTTGTTCTCCAATGTTTGTCGCCATACTTCCAACTTTGCTTTAACCCCTGATTGTGTCTCATCAATCAATACAATATCGTCGGCAAACATCATGCACCACGGTATATCATCTTGAATTGACTTTGTAAGTTCATCCATGACTATGGCAAATAAAAAAGGGCTCAGAGCCGATCCTTGGTGCACTCCGATAGTAATAGGGAACTCCGCAGTCCTCCCTACACTAGTACGGACACTTGTAGTACAATCCTCATACATATCCATGATGATGCTGATATACTTCCATGAAATGCCTTTTCTAGTTAAGGCCCACCAAAGAACTTCTCGAGGTACCCTATCATATGCCTTTTCTAAGTCAATGAACACTAAATGCAAATCCTTGTGAGCGTCTCTATACTTCTCCATAAGTTGCCGAAGAAGGTGAATAGCCTCAGTTGTTGAGCGACCAGGCATAAAACCGAATTGATTCTCTGAAATCTTCACCGTTCTTCGAAGTCTTTGCTCAATCACTCGCTCCCAAAGTTTCATGGTATGACTCATAAGCTTAATCCCTCGATAGTTGGCACATTCTTGTACATCACCTTTATTCTTAAATAAGGGAATAAGAGTACTCTTTCTCCAACTCGTTGGCATCTTGTTGTTTCTCCAAATCTTGTTGAAGAAATTTGTTAACCACTCGATGCCTCTCTCTCCCAAACTTCTCCAAGCCTCAATCGGTATGCCATCTGGACCCACTGCTTTCTTCCGCCCCATCTTTCTCATAGCCTCTTTAACTTCCGTTGGTTGGATCCTTCTCACAAAATCACGATTTACCATACAATCTGGTATGGTCAAATCACCAATATCTTGCACATTGTTCCCGTTGAACAATGTGTCAAAGTATGACCTCCACCTCTCTTTTATCTCTCTGTCCTCCATTAATATCCTTTGATCGACATCCTTCACACACTTAACTTTTCCGATATCTTGAGTCCTACGATCACGAAGACGAGCAAGTTTATAGATATCTTGTTCTCCTTCCTTAGAGTCCAATTTTTCATACAACTCCTTGTTCACTTTCCCTTGTGATTCCTTTACGGCTTTCTTTGCTTGTCTTCTAGCCTCCTTGTATGCTTCTATGTTCTCATCACTCCGACTTGTCCCCAGCTTTTTGTAGCAATATCTTTTGTTCCTTATGGCTTGTTTCACCTCATCATTCCACCACGACGTGTCCTTTTTGGGTGGCAGACATCCTTTAGATTCTCCAAGTACCTCCTTTGCCACTTTGTTGATGGTCAGCTCCATCGATAACCACGCATCCTCCACATGTGTTCCATTATCAATACGCCATACATCTTCACCGAACATTTTGTGTGCAAAGCTTTGTTGAAGATCTCCCTCAAGCCTCCACCACTTTATCTTTGGCTCCACTTGTTGCTTAACTTGTGTTCTATGGTTCTTACCTCGAAAGTCAAGCACAAGCATCCTATGCTGAGTGACAACACTCTCACCTGGGATAACCTTACAATCGGTGTAGCTAGTTCTCCGAGTAGTCCGTACTAAGAAGTAGTCAATTTGGGTACTATTAGCTCCACTTCTATAGGTTACAAGGTGAGAGTCTCTTTTCCTAAACCAAGTGTTCATTATAGCCAACTCATACGTCGAGGCAAAATCCAAAATGTTCTTTCCTGCTTCATTTCTAGTGCCAAAACCATGTCCGCCATGATACACGACATGACGAAAATTTAGTAGCCGCCCAAGCGACCACAACATGTGGAACATTGATAAAGATGGTTTCGGGAGTATGGAAAATAATGGAATACTATAATTTGTCATTTCATTGCTTGATGAGCTTTAATTTAAACAAGACTTGGATGTAAATGCAAATAGAGAACAAAAAAATATTATTTGAATTTAAATCAAAATATCAAATACTTTAGTTTTTTTAGACTAATCTTTGAAACTTTATTATAATAGTTAATTTTTTGTACTATTATTATTTTATTTATGAACCCCTGAATTATATATATATATTTGCAAATTATACCCTATATTTTTTATTATTTATAAATATACCCCGTACCTGTATCCTATAATTTTTGAAAGTGCCGTATCGCCGTATCGGTATCCGCGTATCCACGTATCGGCGTATCCGTATCCGTGCAACATAGGTACTTACCCTCTATGGATAACTCTCTTTCCAAGCACCTTATGTTTTCAAATCTTAAGTTTGATGACCGGAGGATCCGGATGAAGGCACACCTTTGTGCTCTTCATGATGAGATGTGGGAAGTCCTTGATTCAGGGCCATTCACCTAGTTCATGAAGGTGAATCCTGAACATACTACTGATAAATCAAAGCCTCGGATGATTGAAAAGGCCAGATCTGAATGGACCAAGGAGGAAAGAAGGCAGTATAATCTTGACAACATAGCCAAGGACATTCTTTACAAAGCCATTGATAATAGATACTTCAACAGAATCTTAACCAATCAGGGATAGCATTAAATCATTAAATTATAAATCCCACATTCTACAAATTGACTTACAAAGAAAATGAAAAAACCTGGGATAGTAGATCATCAACCAATCAGGGAACAGCTAATGAAGATTGGTGCAAAGATTGGAATATTCCCGAATAAATATTAAGTGGAACAATTGTAAGTAGACCACTAAAAGTGGAAATATTAGTCAAGGCGAATGGCATTGTCTCGGCGAATCTAGATGTGTGACGCCACCTAAATATTTTGTTCACCTACGTCCAAAGCAAGAAAAAAACGACCCCAATTAATTGAAACCTGAAAATATTTACATTGAAAAAATAAATTAAGCAAGAAAAGTATGAGATAATAATCAATCAAGGCTCTTAATTAAAGTGTATGATGGACTTTTTCATCCATATATACACAATATATGGGTTAGTCAAAGTGTGGCACGAGTTGAAATGATTTGGTGTGTCACAGACGCGTAATGCATTACATCACATTATCACAATTCATCCTTGGCTTGCCTATAAATAGCGCCATAACAATATCTCACAACTCACTAATTAAGCACTTCGGTTTAGAATAATTTCCATACATACTAAAGCCAACTAAAATACACAATGGGTGTGAGTGCCTATACCGATGTAGCGAAATCTCCCATTGCAGCTCACAGATTGTTCCAAGCTTTTTATGTCGACTCACACAATCTCTTCCCAAAGGTGCTGCCACAAGTTTTCTCTAAGATTGACCTCATTCCGGGTCAGGGTGGTGCCCCAACCATTAAGCTCATCCAATACCGTGATGGTTAGTCCTATTAATTCATCAACTTAATTAATTGGGTTTATTATTTCTTATATATTTAAGGGAAAGTTCTCGAAATAGGACTAAAACAGTTTGAAAATTCCAAAGTAGGACTGTCATGTTTTTTATTCCCAAAATAGGAGTAATTACGGTCATGTTTGGAAAATACTGCCATGTTTGAAGTCTGGTACTGCCAAAACATGACAGTAATTAGTCCTATTTTGGAAATAAAAACATGACAATCCTATTTTGGAATTTTCAAACCTTTTTAGTCCTATTTCGGATAATATCTCTATATTTAATTAATTTAGAGCTGGCTGGCTGGCATGAGTATTCCTGGCTGTTAGAATGTAATGCAAGTGTTTGTGTTCTTATTTTGAAATTAATCACAGGAGACCAAGTGAAGTGCATGAAAAACGAGATAACTGAGCTAGACGCGAATAAGTTGGTGTGCAAGAACCGAATAGTCGAGGGAAATATGATCGGAGACGAGATTGAGACTATTTGCTACGATGTGAAATTTGAAGCTAACAGCGGCGGAGGTTGTACTTGCACCACCAAAATTGAGTATCACACCAAGGGTGACTTTGTTATCAATGAAGAGGAAATGAAGAAAGCCGAAGAGAAATCCAAGGGTATCTTTGAGGCTGTTCAAGCTTACTTGACCGCACATCCAGATCTTTACGCTTGATTCACTAAATTTATGTATTGCATGTCTTGAATCAATTCCACTCTTTTAAGTGTGCTTCTGTGATCATCGTCTTTCAATTGAATAAGGAATTGAATGTGTTTCAACTTTTTTCTCTTCGTACAACATGTGCCCATAGTCTCTATTCTATACAATTGAACTTGAAACTTCTCTCAAACAAGTATGTCTCTCTGTCAACAAAACATATCACATTATTCTGAACGGGCACGTACGCTTCTAAGGTAAAAGAAATATATACTCCATTCCAAAGTTGCTGCTGTCGCTACATCTACCGCCCCCTACCGCCTCTGTTGCCGCCGCCTCTTCTAGCGTGTGGATCTCCGGCGTCGATGCGCCTCTTCTGTTGCCAGCTGTCGCCTCTTTTGGCGAGGCCACTGCGGATCTCCGACACGATTGTTACATCCGCTGACATGTTACATATTTCTAGCATCATTGCCATCTTTGTAAAGTAGCGACATATTTAAACATACGAAGATATGAAAATATAGTATTTTGACTTAAAATCATGACATTACAAATAATATTTTCATTTAAATGTGGTTAGTGCCATAAAAATGTCATTATTTGCCATTATTTTTAAAAAGTAGCATGGCAATTTTAGATAGAAAAACATGACATTAGAGTAAAAATATATAGCACATTGCAAAGTCATAAAATTGACATTACTTTGCAATGTCATAAAAGTGGCATTACTTTGAAGTGTTCGAATAAAAAAGTTCTTATGGCATTTCCAAATTTAAAATGAACCAAAATAGTAGTCTTCATTTTTTTTTGACAATACGAGGCCTTGTATTTTCTTATCTCAATTTTCCAGATCTAAAACATTCACTTTAGAATCTGGAAAAAAATGGCATATTCTGTTTTCTATACTTTGACTCATGCTTATTATATAAAGATAACAAAACTTTTACCCTAGCGAGAGCTGAGGGGTCTTTTTCTCGCCGTTCTGCGTGCGATGCTGATCGAAGGCAGAGCAACCGCGACGAAGGCCGAGAATCAGAGCAGTGTGTGCAAGACGGGATGGAGGCCATCGAGGACGAGGCAGGCAGGGAGGTTCGCGACCGGGAGAATGAACATGTGAGGGAGATTGTCGCAAAATGCAGAGGCCTGGGAATTGGGGGTAAGGATGACAAGTTGCTGATCGAAGATGACGAGGAAGAGGTCTCGGCAGTTGGGCCAGGGAAGGTAAAGGATTTTCTGGTGGTTGGGACAATTCTCACAGATAAAGCTATCTGTTTTCTGTTCTTCTGGGGATTCATGGCGGATCTATGGCGCCCGGTCAAAGGGATGACCATACAAGAAATCGGCGAACGAAGGTATCTCTTTAAGTTTTTTCACTCCATTGATATGAATCGGGTCCTAGAAAACGAACCATGGTTGTATGACCAAATTCTGATTGTGCTAAAAGCTATTAATCCGGGTGATATTCCAATTAAGATGGTGCTTGATGAATTTGAAATCTGGGTTCTGGTTCATAACGTGTCGTGTAGTTTTGAAAACTTGGGTACGACAAGGAGAATAGGGAATTATTTGGGGGAGTTTGTTAGTTGGGATGAACAAAAAGCTAGTGACAAAAGGAGACTTACATGCGAGTGAGAGTTCGAATGAATACTTCCAAGGCATTAAAAGTTGGAACCACTTTAAGAAAGAGCAAAAGTGAAGGGTATTGGGTAGATTTTAGGTATGAGAAGTTGCCAAGTTTCTGTTTCTGATGTGGAATGATTGGGCATGCAAAGAAATTCTGCCCTCTGCTGTATGAAAAGGAAGGGCAAGCTATGGCCAGACCTTTTGGGCCATGGCTTAGAGCGAGTGGAAGGAAGGTGAAGTCAAACTTGGGCAGCAAATGGCTGATAACAGAAGGAAGCTCTTCTGGAGGGGAGTCGCACATGACACGTATGATGAGGCCAGAACAGGAGGTGGTGTCAGATGAGTCAGGGTAGAGTGCTAAGACAGGTGGGGGGAAGGCTGTGTTCTCAGGAGAGCTAGATGAGGATGGAATGACAGGAGAGCTGAAGAGAAGGCGCACGTGGGAGGACCAGACGAGGGAGGAAGCTGGAAAGGATGTTATGGCGTTGGACTCCAGAAAAACGGGGAGGGGGTGGGTGCTGGCCACTAGCCCCGCCAGAAGACATGATGTTGATTAAGGCTTTTTTAGCCGAAAGACTTATTTACTCATGTTATTTTGTTTTGTGCTTTTTCCACGTTCTGGATATTGTTTTTGTTTTGGGTATGCTGAGTTTTTTCAGCAGAGATACTTATGAAACTGATATAGGAGCTGATGTGTCGTGTCTACAAGTCATAGGCTCATGTAAGCCCAAAGCGGGATCAGCGAATTATATGGCTTCTACGGAGGTGATTAATTCAGAGTCTGGTCCTTGGGCGGACGGTAGACAGGAGACTTGTCGTCACACGGTTACCTATGTTAGTTGGTATTGTGTGGTTATTTTGGTAATGATAAGTTAAGCCAGTTTCGTTCAAAAAAAAAGAATCTGGAAAAAAATATGAATATAAATCATTCATAGAAATCTATTTATACATAAGAAAACAAATAGCTCATAGAAATACAATTTTACCCTTTAAAAATCCTATGTGTCATTCTCTCCACAATTTGCTCCTTTAATATACAAATGCCATGTGGTGAATTGATGGACTAATACGGAACACACCAAAGCAAAGAATGTGTATGTACGCATTAAAAAAACTTTGGAATCCATTAATGGGTCCCATTGTATAAAAATATACCATTTTCTTTAAATTGTTATAACTTTTTTATTTTCTCTCTAATTTTTATAAAAAAAAATATCAAAATTCATAATTTTTTACGACCTTTCAAATGACATCAATATTGCATATATAAAAGTTAAAAAAAAAATCTGAAGGTTTATTAAATAATCTTCCTATTTTCAAATTCCATAGAGACTATTCCGTATTAAATAAATATATAATTCATAACGTATGACTAAAACAAGCCTAATGGATAACAATATGACTTATTAATTTTTAGTAACTATAAATACGTTAAAATTTTTATCAAAGTGACTATAAAAGTGTACTCATAGCCACTTTTCTGGTCGAATTAACTGAATTTATTGTAGAAGATTATTTTACCTACTTCTTCACATAATTTTTCTTTACTCTATAAATGAAATGTATTTTAAAATACAATTTCTCCATAACTCAATAATTCCAGTCAATTTAGCCAAAATGTTGTCAATTACGATAGATTCAAGCAATTTCTATGTCACCTAACAGACTTTAAATAACATTCTAAATGAAGAATGTGCCCGATATATTTTGTTATTGTCAATATAAAACATGCCCATGGTTTTTAAATGTCACTTGGTCCATTAAAGTTGTAAAAAACTATGATAGTTTAAAATTAATTTTGTTATCATCATTTCCATCATATGATCTTTATCTTTATTTTAACTTTTACATATGTTATAAAAATCAAAGTCACCCTTTTAAAATCAAGTCATAGTGTGAGCACACCTGAAATGTATGTTCCACCACGAACTGAACAAATACAACTTCATAAGGATATTAATCGGTTTGAATGTATGAATAAACTTTTTATCATCAAATTGCTAACACTAAAATGATTTAATACGCATATCAAAATTTTCTTTTCAAAAAGGATTAGCTCTTTATGCTGACTCAAGTTCTAACGAATACTTGCCCTATACTATTCAAAACACTAAATAATTTAATTTTGGTCAAGGTATTGATCATATAATGCAATTTGATTCATATTAATCATTGTGTATTATTAATATATTGGATTTCTGTTATTTTTTATACTTTGATATTTGAGATCGAAGTTTGGATTGAACAATGCGTGGCTTTCTTGAGGGTAAAAGAGTACTTTAAATAGCCTATTCTTCACTTATATATAAATACACACACATAGTTATATACACGAAATATTATGGTCATATGAAAGATAATAAAAAGTTATACTTTTAACATAATTTTGTTGAAAAATGTCGATATTGTTAAAAAAACACAACATTAAAGGTAATTTTGTGGAAAGTTACATTTGATTGTCATTTCAAGTTGACATTATTTCAATCAAACCTGTTTTGTTTGTCATTTGATCAATGTAATGAGCTTATTCGTTTTAGTTATTAGTAAAATTATTTATTTAATCAAATACTTAAATTTTGATTTTGCGCGCTAGATTCTGTGATGATCAAAATAAGAAAAGCTAAATATAAAATTACTTTTTTTGCCTAAATTGAATGAAGTTAAGAAGTCACATTTATCCACTATACTTATTTGAGTCATAGTTATCGATAATTTCTTTACATAATACGGGATGATCGATATCGTAGTTGAAAAATAGGAAGTTGTTTAATAAATCTTAAAAGAAAAACTTTTATATGCAATATTACTGTAAAAAAACAACGTAATGAGAATCATGGATTTTAATATATTTTGTAAAAGGTAGAGTTAGAATGAAAAGGTTATAACATTTTGAATAAAAATAGATTTTCAAAATAAGGATAACGAATAAAAGTGTTTTATTGACATTTAGTGACTATAATAAAAAACTAGCCCTTATAATTAAAAAATGCATATATGCTCACTTTTCATTTAAAATAATGTCCCGTTTGGTGACCCTATTTTTGGATTTATAAACCTTATGAGTCATTTTTTCATCAAATACTAAAATTTTGATTCCGCACGTTGGATTTTGTTATGATCAAAATAAGAAAGGTTGGACTTACTTTTCTATTTGGGTCGAATGAAGTTACTGTAACTGAAAATTTTAGCTATTTTTTCTAATAAATGTTTCTTCATTTTTATAAATAAAATATATTTTAAATCCCCCCCCCCCCCCATAATTTAGTAAATTCAGCAAGTTTGGTGGTTTCAAAAAGAACTTCATCAATTTTGGTAGATTCGCCCAATTTATTTGTTACCAAACAGACTTTAAATAACATTTTAATTGAAAAAAATGTTCAATATATGATAGTATTGTCAATGTAAAATAGATCAATGGTTTTAAAATGTCACATGGTGCGATGAAGTAGCTCAATGAGAGTTATGCAGGGCATGAGCAGTAAAATATATAGAGGCATAGAATTGATGGAGCCCAAGGTATAAAAACCTTCATTTTCTTCAAAGTGTTATAAATTGTCATTCTTGCTCTAATTTCTACGTATAGAATTATCTTTCTCATACGTACCACTTTTATGTATAATAAGAATATAAGCCGGCGGCTAACAATTGAGCGAGAGAAATTTCTCTCTCATATGTTGTGATTTTAGGTATTAGGATATAAGCTTGTGAACGGAAAACTTTCTCTCCCATATGTAGATTTTTTAAGAATAAGATAGGTCGGCTAACAATTGTGCGGAAAACTTTATCTCTCATATGTAGTACGTAGTACTTTTAAGTATAGGATGAGATTAAGCCGGCTAACACTTGAGCGGGATAATTTTCTCTCTCATATGTGATTTTAGGAATAAGATGATAAGCTGCCTAAAAATTGAGCGGGATGAATTTCTCTATCGTATGTAATGCTTTTAGATATTAGAAGATAAGCTTGCCAACAATTGAGTAGGGGAGTTGAGCGGGATAATTTTCTCTTTCATATGTAGTTATTTTAGGTATTAGACTAGACTAAAAATAAGCTTGCTAACAATTGAGCGGGAGAACTTTCTCTCATACATATAGTTCTGTTAAGTATAAGATAAGCCAACTAACAATTTAGTGGTAGAATTATATTAACTCTCTCATATGTAGTGCTTCTAAGTATAAGATAATTCGACTAACAATATATTCATCGAGATAATTTTCTCTCATATATATGTAATTCTTTTGAGTATAAGATAAGTCAGCTAAAAATTAAGCGGTAGAATTATCTCTCTCATACATAGTGCTTTTAGGTATAACAAGATAAGTCGGCTACCAACTCAACGCGAGATAGAGCTTTTAGCTATTTGGAGATAAGCCTGCTAATAATTGAGCGGGGAAACTTTCTTTCTCATATGTAATTCTTTTAAGTATAAGATAATTCGGCTAACAATTGAGCGAAAGAGTTTTCTCTCTCATATGTTTGCTTTTAGTTATAGCTGTATAAGATTAGCCGGCTAACAATTGAGCAGGCAAATGCTCTCTCTCTCTCATAAGTAGGGGTTTTAGGAATAAGAAGATAAGATTGCTAATAATTGATCGGGAGAAATTTTTCTATCATATGTATGTAGTGTTTTGAGGTATTATAAGATAAACTTGCTAACAAATGACCAGTAGAATTGAGCAGGATATATTTATTTGTCACTCATATACAGTACTTTTAGGTATTAGAAGTTAAACTTGCTAATAATTGAGCATGATAATTTTCTCTTTTATATGTAGTGCTTTTAGGTATAAAGAAGATAACCAGTTAACAATTGAGCGGGGTAATTTTCCCTCTCATATGTAATAATTTTAGGTAAAAGAAGATAAGCTTGCTAATAATTGAGCGGGAGAAATTTCTCTATTATATGTACTGCTTTTAGGTATTAGAAGATTAACTTGCTAACAATTGAGCAAGGGAATTGAGGGGGATTATTTTCTCTCTCATATGTAGTGCTTTTAGGTATTAGAAGATTAGAAGATAAGTTTGCTAACAATTGAGCGGGATAGTTTTCTCTTATATGTAGTGTTTTAGGTATAGGAAGATAATCCGGCTAACAATTGAGCGAGAGAATTTTCATTCTCATATGTAGTGGTTTTTGGTATAAGAAGATAAACTTGCTAACAATTGAGCGGGAGAAATTTTTCTATCATATAGTGCTTTTTGGTATTACTACATAGAAGATAAGATTGATAACAATTGAGCAATGGAATTGAATGGAATAATTTTCTCTCTCATATGTAGTGATTTTAGGTATAAGAAGATCAGATAAACTTGCTAATAATTGACCGGGAGAAATTTTTCTATCATATTGTGCTTTTTTGATATTACTACGTAGAAGATAAGATTGCTAACAATTGAGCAATGAAATTGAATGGAATAATTTTCTCTCTCATATGTAGTGCTTTTAAGTATTAGAAGATAATGTTGCTAACAATTGAGTGTAATAATTTTGTTTCACATATGTAATTCTCTCCCATATGTTAGCACTACTTTAAATAATGATTAGCAAGTTATTATTTAATTGATATTCATTAATATTAATATTTATTGTATTCACTTAAATTTTATGTCATTCACTTAATGTACTTACTTTTTTTAGAATTATATTTAATTTTAAAATTAATTCAATCATGAAAATTAATAGATAGCCAATTCTAATGAGTGGTGTCAATTAATTTTCCATAATATACTCTTCATTGAATATTTATTGTATGGCTTATACTTTATGATATTAGCTTATTGTACTCTTCCCCCCCCCCCCCCACCCACAATGTAGAATACTAAAAAGTTACTTTATGCACCGACTACTATTTCCCGTGCGTATGCACGGGTACTATACTAGTAATAATTAAAAAAAGATGAAAACAAAGGATGTAGCACAATAAGTAGGAGGAGAAGAGTTACCCGTTGCGGCATGGTGGAGGCAAAACCGGAAAAGGAAGCAGCGACGGTTAAATTGAAACACAGTGGCGAACGATGAAGATGGTGGATGCACAACGAAGTTGAATTGACAGAGGATATGTCAACTTCCTGGAGCGTGAACTCATTTATGGCAATAGGGGTTTTAATTATTACCGTTCCCCTAAGTTTGGGATAGGGATGGACTGGGCCGGGCCGAACCGGCCCGGAACCGGACCGGCCCGCTACTGTGCGGGCCCGGACCGGACCGGGCCCGGTTGGCCGGTTCCGGGCTTTTAGCCCGTTTTGGCGGTTCGGGCGGGCCGGTTCCGGGCCCTGTTTTTCTTGAACCGGCCCGGGCGGTTCGGGCCGGGCCCGGTTCATTTTTTTTTTTTTTTTTTGGTTTTTTTCAATTTTTTTTCTTTTCCTAGGGTAGGGCTGGGTGTTTTAGGGAGGTTTGGGGCGTGGGGGTGAGGGGGGGGGGGGGTAGGGAGATAACAAGAAAGTCAAAAAAAAAAAAAAAAAAAAAAAAAAATTGAACCGGGCCCGGCCCGGCCCGGCCCGGTTAGGCCCGGACCCGGTATCAACCCGGGCCGGTTCCGGGCCCATGTAACCCGAAAAAAAGCCCGCCCGGGCCCGGCCCGGAACCGGAACCGGCCCGGCCCGGGTCCATCCCTAGTTTGGGACAAGAGAAGATGGCACGGTTTTTAATAAAAGTGGATTTATGTGATTGATATTGAATTGATAAAGTAAGAATAAAATATGAATGATTTAGAGCCACACAAATTTTACCAAATAAGGTATGAGACAATTATAGCGGGACAGACCGAAAAGGTTAAATGGGACAATCATAGCGGGACGGAGGAAGTAGATTATAAGAAGGGTTTATGAGTAATATGAATTAAAAACCTAAACTTCTACTTAGGAATCCATCCCATGTTTTACTCCTATTAAAGGAAAATTCTTATAATTTTATTTTAATGTTGCATATTGTAATTCTCTGTAATAGTAGGGACCAGGATCAGATTTAGGAATCATCTTTTTCGGGTAAGGTACTAGGAACATTAAAATAGTACAGATCAAGATCAGGATCCCTATTGTAATTCTCTATAATAGTAAGAACCAGGATCAAATTTTATTTTAATATTATAATTTATCTCGCATATCCATCCTCTATAATAATATGAAGTGAGTAGGGGACAGGTACGGCACCTGATCCCAAGATGGAACTAGAAAAAAGGTCCCGGTCCCATCCTGTGAACCGGCCGAATCCAGACCCAACAAGTCCAGGACCGTAAACTGGGTCCAACCCTACCGATAATCAAATTGGTTCCTGATGCAGACTATGCAGGCCTATATTCTTGGGGACTGGAATCGTCTCTCAACCCTAGATATGAGTAACCCTAAACCGCTGTAATTTACCTATATATCGGAAATACTCATTTACCAACTAATTTATTTGGCGGAATGAATCTCTTTGTAATGAATATGAAGATATTAAAGTAAGCTCAGAAAAATATATACTTTGTACACATGATTATTGATTATTGAACCAATTCACAAAACTCTAATTCAATGTTCTAAAAAAGGACATAAAAATGGACGCAAGGACCCTGCCCCTTCCCAGAGTTGGGACAACAGCATATATTTGGCAGTTCCAACTTTTCCAGCCAGGCATATGAATATATGATCACTTTGCAAACAAGATTAGAGGCTTTGCAGAAGATAAACCAAGATCATTTTTCTCCTTTAAAAAACTTATCAATGTTCCCCAGTGTGGTCAATGTCTTGACACTTATAATCATACATTCATACATAGTAGTGGGAAAATATCAAAGTTGTGATATTTTCTAAACTAAACCTAGCTAGAGAATTCTATAACACATTTTTAATATATCACATCAGATTGCAAACACCTCTCAATGCATCAAAAGTTTTTATTCGAATAGGATGATGATCCATGGCAGTTTTTATCAAGGGTCGGGTCGGACCAGGCTCGTCTTACTGTAAAAATTCTCTGGGATCGGTGACAAAACCTGTCAGTGCAGATGCTGCTGCTGTAAATGGAGATGCGAGATAAATCTGGCCTTCCTTGTGTCCCATTCGACCCGGAAAGTTTCGGTTTGTTGTTGAAACACATACCTGCAATTAGGTCCCTCTCCATGTAAGGATGATGAACATTTACAAAGGGTTTCAATTTCTTTAATTCTCTTTTTTTTTTTTTTGCGGGGGGAGGGGGAGTAAATGACGAGGAAGAGAAATATGGCTTATAAAGGACCAAAGGGAATTACTCCCTCCGTCCCGAAAAGGTTGGCCAAAGTTGACTTTCATGTGGATTAATAAAGTAAAAATTGTGGTTGAAATTTGTGCAGAGGAAAGAGAATTAATTTTAACCACATATTCCTTACTTTAAATGGAAATGGCAAATCTTTTTGGGACACCCAAAAAAAGGAAATTTGGCCAACCTTTTCGGGACGGAGGGAGTATTATCGTGTTTGGTCTATGTCTCAACTACTAGATTCAAAATTTTAGAAGTAGCGGCCAACTTTCTTACTCCCTCTATATTTAAATGATCTCTACAATTCTACATTAGGCGTTGTCACAAGATTTAAGGGGAGAATAGTAGGGATAATGAATAGTGAAAAAAAGTAGGAGAGCAGGTAAAAAAGTAGGAAAGAAAAAATAAAAAGTAGAAAAAGTAAGGGTAATTGAGTATTTTTAAAGGAAAAACTTACCAAAAAGGGAAAGTGTAGCAAACTTTTAAATACATCCCAAATAGGAAAGTATAGCAAACTTTTAAATACGGAGGGAGTATTAAACTTTGTGTCTATGTTGTTGTCATAAGGTCATATATGAAATGATCAAAGCATATATTTTAGAAAAACTTTTTCTGTGATTTTCACAAACGGAAATATAAGAGCCCGTTTACTAACAAGAATATATTCTGTTTTTCAAGAAAACTAGAAAACTGGAAGGAAAACTGGAAAATGTGTTTACCAGTTTATTCTCCAAAATTGATAAACCGAGACATGTCTACGATTTTCTTCTTAAGATAGAGAAGTCACTTTTCCGTGTTTTCCAAAATGGAAATATGCGCTACAGTGTGTCCTATACTTGTTGAGTTAATTCGCACCCAATAATCCGATTAGGTAATTTTTTTTAAAACCACATATTTTATCGAGATCTATGATCTATTTTATTTGTTAAATTAGGAAAATAAATTATCACGTTTTTAGTGTTTTAAAACTTACTATTAGGTATAACATAATTTTTCCCCAAAATAAATAAGTTTCTCATACTAACTTTGATTCATAGATCATGATGTGGCTTTAAAAAAAATTACTCTGATTGGTCATTTGAGCTTAAAATAAAGAATATTTAAATTTTGAAAAATAACACTTTTTGCTGCGACTGTAGCTATAATCACAACAAAAATATACTATCATACTTTAAGCTTTGTTAAGCTTAAGGTATGATAGTATTTTTTAACTTAAAAAACTATAAAAGTACTTATTCGCTTGTTAAGTTTTGTTTGTGAAAATGAAATGATCCAGTATGATATGTCTCAACAGCAACAAATGCATGAAGTTCGAAAACCTATTGTGATTGTAATTTGGCATGATTATACTGTTTGAGACATCAAAGTACTACTACTATTATGTATTTGTTTTTCAAGACAAAGTAACCTCTTGTTTAAAAAATGTCACTTATTAAGCTTTGTTTGTGGATCATTTATGTAAACTTTTTGTGTTACTTGAGATGTTTCTAATTACGAGTACTTTATTTTGCATTATGCACACATTACTTTTTAGCGGTGTCAAGTAATATTTGTCATTTATCCGCCTTCAGTTCTATCAGATTTCAATTCCTCAATTTAAATACTTATACTATAGTTTCAAAATAGAAAATGGGGGGGGGAATTTGGAAAATATGTGTTCAGATTTGGAAAATGGAAACAAAAAACTGGAGAAATAAGTAAACGGTGCCCTAAGAATTTCTACAAGAGAACTATGTTGTGTGGACTGTATTACCCATTGTTTGTAATTGCGCAATGCAATTGCGCCTCATGGCGCGCCTCAGCTAATTCCTGGACTATGGCGTAAAAGGCATTGCATATGGCGCTGGGAGTGTGATGTACGCAATATTGCACTGAGGCGTACGCAATATTGGATACGCAATAAGGCGCTCTGAGGCGTACGCAATAGGAGGTCAGGGTGTAAGGGTATTATTTGGGCCCACTCGACCCACTTTTAAATTTTTATAATTGATCTTATGATCCCTATTTCAAACCAGTAGTTATTGATTGAATTTTTCAGTCAATCAATCTAATTAATAAATTTTCATATCTTAGATTTTGTTTTGATAAATGGTTCAGAATGTTTTGGTATTCTATGGTACTTTGAAGTTTGAACATGTTACTTTGCTTGGCCTCTTATGGTTTGTTTTAATATAACATTTGATGACTTTTGATGAATATGTTTATTTTTTATTATGTTCATATATATATATATATATATATTATATAATATAATATATATATATATATTACGCCTCAGCTATACGCCTCATTGCGCAATGAGGCTTACGCAATATGCAATATTAAAAAAACGCCACGACTACGCAATTCGCAATTTCAAACCTTGGTATTACCTATGACGCTAATGCCTTGAGGCTAAGTAAGAAAGCCTTGAAGGTTGTTTTTAGCCTTTTAAACCAACCATGTCAGCAAAAACAATGCATGTAACACACCTGAGGCTCATTCATGCGTGCATAAGTGTCCCGAGGGCCCCCCAAACAAGCCCCACAACTAGGACTTGCCGGGGTATCACAACCTGCTTCCTCAAAAATCTGCGAACAAGTTTTCCCACCCGATCCTGGAACTGGGAGGCTATATACGTCCATCCAGACCTAAATTGAATAGTGCAAATGACTGATGAAGTCAATGTCTTTAAAATACTACAATGGCATTCCAGAGCTTTTTTACATTACAGATCATTGAAAATCACAATTCACAAATATTTGATACCAGAATGAAGATCACAAACCTTTTGAGTGGCAGGAACAAGAAACGTAGGAACTTTTACCTTTTTCCCCTGCATATTATGTAGCCATTTGTTCAGTCAAGAGGAAAATCTAATTAAATGAAATAAAAAGGGTAACTTTATGTTGTTCCAGATGTATATATGATATGTACTATCTTGTTGCGCGGGAAACAAAATTCTACCTAAGCCTAACAATAATATTTACCGCAGCTAGAAAAACTTTGGCAGCAGCCATGAAGTCCTCAGTTTTCCCACCAGTACAAGATCCGATATAAACTCTGTCAATTTTGACATCTTTGCATTCTCTTGCTAATGCGCGATTATCAGGGGAATGAGGCTACAGAATTATCCAAAGGGGAATAAAAATAATTATGTTTCAAGCATATAGTTAGTATTTGGTAAAATTGAACGAAATAATTAATCACAATTTGGAAGCAAGAAAAAGTTGTACAGAGAATGAAATAAAGAAGTACATTCTATACAATATGTCCAAATGAACCAAAAGATCACTAACCTTTGCCACTAAGGGTTCCAACTTTGATACATCAAATCTGTACTCTGAAAGAAACCTGAAACAAAGTAAAAGTTCATCACTAAGATTTAAATGCGACAAGCCATTAAATGATGATTATGAAGCACAGCTACATCAAAAACTAGAATTTATGTGTCATTCACCATTGTAGTCAATGCTAAAAAGAACACGGCGAAAATGGAATGGGGAGTAATTCGATCACTGTAGGCGGAATTTAATATAGGATTAGGTTCACATGAAATTGCTGATAGTGAGTTTGTAGGATGTTTTACACAGGGAGCATGGGGTCCTTTACTCTTTTCTAGACATCATTATTATGTATGTGACTTCAGTACTGCAAGTCATGTTCCAAACTTCCAGGTTATGTCATGGCAGATACTCATTTTGTTTGAACTGTTACTATGACTAAAAGGTTAAAGACGATAAAAAAAGGCTTAGAGCAATTGGTGAAGCATCAAATGGCACACTTTCAGTTTTACATTGATTGTATCCTTAGCATTACAGGTCGCATATATGAGATGTTTGGATTAGCTGATATGGACCTTGTCTTCGCAATTTATGAGCAATGGGATTTAATGATCAAAAAGGCTCACAGAAATTGCCATGTAAATTCAGCACTAATAACGCAATAATAAGCGGAAATTGCTTGCATAGCCTTGATCTTCCTCATGTTCTGAAAGAACTGGAGCACATATAATTTCATTCACTGTATGAAGAGAAACAAGTTGACACTACAAAGAGATGAAGATATATTTGTCTCCATAGAAATCTCAGACTTCTGTAGAGGAGTCAGGAGATCTTCAAATTAAAGTAAAGCTGGCTCTAAAATGCGGGACGTCAAGGAGATTACTTCGACTCCATAGATATAAAAAATGCAATTGTTGAGATTACAGATCTCTCTTTATGAATCTGAACATGAGGCCATGTCATTCAGACAAAAGAGAATGCCAGTGTGTTGTTTTTATATTACTTATGTTCAATTGGCATGCTTAGTTTGCATTTTTGCAAGGATATCGTGTTTAAGAACGCAACTGTTATCATGTTATGTTTTTTTGTTTTTACTGCATCTGCCCTGTTTCATACGTACTTTCTTTTTTCTGTTTGTCCCACAATTATGTGTACATTCCTTTTATGAACTCCACAAACTTTTACTTCTCCAATTTACCCCTTTATGATTCAATGTGACCTAGTTGCATAACTTTTATAATGTTTGGTCACCTTTTTAGGATAGATTTCAAAATTTGACCAAATACCTAATGTGTCCTTAATGCCTGTGCAAAAAAATGAGACCTAAATTTTTTGACCATACGGAATTGTATTTAATCTACCTCTATATAAAAAGAGGTGGAAAAACAGATGAATTTCCCGCCCAAAGATCTACATTAATAACGGGTCAGGTCATATGAACGGTTATGGAGATGTACATCGGGTATTGGAACTTGACTGCATTGATTGCTCACAAGGTGGTCGAAAATGCCAACAAAGTACGTATGACATCAGGGTTAGAATCTGTCAAACCTGCGGAGCATTAAATGCAACGCATGAAAAAAAACAATTGAGAACCGTGCTTAATAAATAATTAAAAAAAATGTGTATTGTCACATCTATGTTCGTACTTTGTTGAATGGGACATAACGAAATACCGGAGTTGCTTTTGTGATCAAAGACATTAAATGCATAGATTCTCTCAATTGTAACAATTTATGATTTCGGGCTCTTATTTGCTGGACATACAAGAGCAAGGCCATCTATTATAAATAAGCACTTCCACTCGGTTCTTCACCAGGAGAACAAATGCCTCCCCATGCCAGTCTCAAAGTGCACACCATATGGAAGTGGTTTCATGACGTAGAGGTAAAACTTTTACTCAAGATCATAGATATTTTTAATATTATAGATTCATTAACCTACATGGGTTCATAACCGCTTTTGTACATGGAGGCAGAATCCATGCAGTCATAAGATGGCCGCTGGACAACTACCATACTTGCAAAACCACATCATACCCCTACATTCTTGAGTTCATCAGCAATACACAAAAGGGAAATCCCAGGTGACAACTTACCAATTTGCGTCTATAATTTTCACCAATTTCTTCCAGTAATTCCAGTAACAATAGTATGACAGATTAGTTATTCATCTTCGGTAAAAGAAGTATTGACAGATTTGTTATTATATAGTGAATATAAAGATCAGTGTTTGGTCTATTTCAGTAAAAGAAACATGACAAAGTAGTTATTAGTTATAGTTTACAAAAAGAAAATCAGTTCAATTGGGCTACTATTATTATTTGAATGTTATCTGAAATAGATTTAATGTCCATTGTGCAGCAGGCTACCCGACCAAGCAGTTCTGAAGGAAACTGATGTGGTTGGCAGGGAATCAGATTAGCTATGTTTGCATGGCACAAAACTACTTATTTACCTTCACAAAAAATAATTAGGATTCACAGTTTCACACATAGGTATATATAGTGAATAACCAGTTGAATAAGTACAACTGGCCAGATTAGTTAGTTAAATCATATATGCATAACCAGGGGCGGACCCAGGAAATTTGTCTTGGGAGGGCGGTAACTTTTAAAAAAAAAATTGGGAGGGCGAAAATTATTTTTTGATATATATATACACTAAAAAAAAATTGTTGGAGGGGCGACTGTCCCCCGGGTCTCTACTACGGTCCGCCCCTGTGCATAACAGGTGAGTTTCAAAAGCAAAGTCAGTTTCAACTTTCAAAACCAGATTAATTAAATAAGTGGATTCAAAGATTTTACTAATTTATAGGTATGAACCATAGTGCTGCTTATCTCAGTTTGAAGTGATATCAGCGTGCATGCGTCACTTATTCTAATTGTGTTTGCTATTTTGACCATTGTTTAGAAATCTAACGACTTGGTAACTATTAAAAATTCTTTAAAAAGATGCATATCTCAAATTAAGAGAGGCCTGAACCACAAAATGATACTCCGTATATTTCTACAGGTTTTTTTAATCTCGACAAATATGCATATATGTTAATTGTAGATAAACATGTATATATATATTAGACAATCGAATATAAAGAAAATTAAGTATATATAAACATAAAGAGAATATCTCATAAATTGCATATAAATCTATAAAAAGATAATTATGCAGTAGTACAAGAAAATTAAGTAAATATCACGAAAATGTGTATAAATAGCATATTTTATTTTAATTTTTGAGGAAAAATAGCATATTTTATAAATATATAACTGATATTATGACAAATATGTATCCCAAATTGATAGATCTACACAGATTTGTGATTGCATCACCAGTTTATTGAATATTTTCAAAATATTTTCAAAAAGTAATCAGATTTATACATAAACCACTGGACCTAAAACCAAGCAAATTGAAAGATTCAGATCGTGTAGTTCATATCAACATTATGATCAGAGATATACAGAAATTAGAGGACGGGGGTATAGAGAATTATATATATATATATATATATATATATATATATATATATATATATATATATATATATACGGAATATAGGGTGGAAAATATACCAACAACCGTTCCCAACGGTCGGTCTACCACTGCAACACGCATACAGGTTGCCATCAAGGCTGAGACTTAGTAAGAATCGATAGTTAATAAGGAGTAAGATTTTCACCAAAATAATACCTTCTGGAATCCATAGGTAAAGAGGGTGAATTGAGAATAATCCGGTGGGTTGAAGGAAATGGGGTTATATATTGTTAGGGTTTGGGCTAGGTATAATTGTTGGATCCGAAAACTGGCTGGGCTGGGTTATTGTTGTTGTGGGCTGGGTAATAATCCTGAAGGATTATTAATAACGGGCCGGGTTGGGTCCGAACCTGAATTTGGTCTGAAATGTGATGGGATCGACTCATTTCTTTTACAGGTTAATTTTAAAGTATATCTTTATGATAAATTTTTTAAACATATCGATCTTTTGATTATAAATTTTATATCTTTATGAAAGTATTTTTAAGATAAAACAATTTCATATTTGGACATTGTGTGGTAGATAAAAAATTCATAATGCATATGTTGGGTTTGGGTTTTACTGATTGAAATGGGCTATCAATCAATGTTTACGCATTATGTTGCAGCATAAAGTAACAAATCGTGAGAGTTTGAAAATATTGGTATGCAGTGAAGAGGAAGAAAAGAGCAAATGTACTACAAATGTTGTTTAGAATGAAGTGTTTAGAAATCTTATAGCATGCTTCGTTTTTCTCTTCTTATTCGAACATATATATCATACCAATTATGAGTGATAAGAACTGATAACCAAACTTTCTATTATAATTATTATCTATTATTATTTATATATTACATGTATATGCTTTGTATCATTTACACATAATACATTCACTAATAATATTAATAACTATTGTCATATAACTCTACAATAATATGGCCCGTGCATCGCACGGGTGAAAATCTAGTTGTATTAAAGTTTTGAAAATTTAACTCTGCCATGAGATCATTTTGGTATCATTATGGCCAACTATAACTTAGTCACATCACATGACATGAATCGAAATATGAAAAATCTTCTTTATCTTTATTCTTATATTATTTTTATCATTTATCTTTTTTTATGCTCTTTTATCTTTCTATCTTTTATCTTTATTATGTTTTAATGTTATTTTTATCTTATATTTATCTTTATCTTATCCATTTTATCTTACTTTATCTCTTTATTCATCTTCACTTTCTTCTCTTTTTGGGCCCAATATCATGGATCGATTCATGTTAGCCGACCCCAAAATCTTTCGGGAACAAGGCTTGGATGTTGTATGGAATTGTATTTTATTTTATTTTATTTTATTTTGGTGTGTCCCTTCCAAGTTCCCTGTATGTGTCCTAATTTCATAATTCCTATAAATTTGTCCTATCATTGTGTCCAGTAGTGTGATGTCCCTATGGCTAAATGCAATCAATCGTTTGAGAAATAATATAAGTAGTTGACTTGTGCAAGTAAGAACATCCTGGTGCAGGACTCTCTTATTAGAAAACACACTGCAATACGTCACTACTCTCTATAAATAGTCTACTAGTTCAAAGAAAGATCTACACTGAAATACCTGGCTCGTCCATCACTGTAAACAGGTTCATATGGGACAGAAGTCTTTCCCTGTGAAAACAGGAGAGATGTAGAACATATATTAGCTTCCAGAACTCTGGCAGAGCGTGTAGTCCAGCAAGAGATATGGAAGGATTTCTAAGGAATCCACTTAAGCCCATAATAAACTAAGCTGACCTCAAGATACTCATAGGTTGTACTGTCTGCTGGGATAACACCATTCTTTCCACCCGCTTCAACAACCATGTTGCATAGAGTCATTCTTTCTTCCATCTTTTATTTAATAAAATCATATCAAAAACATTTAGTGAAAAGGTATTTCAGTGAACCTCAAACAAAGAATCAAAGATGTATACTTTCACAATAAAATCAGTAAACTTACTGTCAAGCTTTCAACTGTTGTACCAACAAACTCCATTGCTTTATAAGTCGCACCCGCTACAGAGATCTCACCAATAATCTGAGATATAAAAGATCTCAAATGAACTAAAACTTGAAAGCTTTGGGACCCAAAGGATTGTGGAAACAAAAATAAAAGAAAAAGAAATTGCACATTTCGCATTACAGATTCATGACAATGCATATAAAGAAAGTAATACAGATTACAGAGTACCATTGTAAACAAGCTTACTTGCAAAATCAAATCCTTAGCTAGCAAGTAATCAGGCATTTCACCATCCATCACAAATCTCAAAGTCGGAGGAACCTACATTATGCACGAATGTAATGTGTCACAATGAAAGTACAATAAATGAGACAGGGAATACATAATACATAATTCAGTCAACTTCTACAGACATTAGAAGAAAAAGGGGGAAAGAAGAAGGAATATAATAAAAATATAGTAGCATGCAACGTAAAGAAAATGTCATCGGTCATACTCCAGCACTATTTAAGAAAAAACTACTCTGTCCAAAAAATTGTTATGCACTTGTGCATGTCACATTGATTTCTTACATGAGTATGATGACAACCCAGAAATGAAATTTTTCTATTTTTGGTTACAGCTGTCCAGAATTAAGATAATCTATGGACCCATTAATGCAAACCATTGACTAGGGAAATTGATTCTTTTTTTGCATAGATGAAAATTGTGTGTATTCCTCATTGTTGTCAATGGAGCAATATAGTGCAGTGTCCTTTTCAGAGTGAAATGAATGAGGATGACGTTCCAGATGATGTGAGTGTGATACTTGATGATGATTATATCATAATCATCAATCAAAAACAAGTTGACATATTTTGGAAGGCATGGAACTTTTAAGGATATTATGTTTTTGGAACTACTTTAAACTATTTAAACTTCTCGTGTTTTCATTAGAATGTGGGTATTAAACTTTATTGCTCATCTTTTGGTGGTTGAGTCATAGTTTTATAGTGTCTATTGTTCATATTTTTAGTATTTATTTTTTTGGCATGTGGCGACATCATAAATGTGTTATTGTGCCAAGGGAAAATGCCTTGTCGCCATGGCTGTCGCCATACGCTATGACAACTATTACTTTTTCTTAAATAGCATTAAAAAAATTATATTAGAGATTAACGAGAAAGTTATTAAATTCATGCCACAAAGTCCAAAACTTCTAGTAAAGTAAACATAGCTAAGGATATAGTGGTCGGCTACAAAAATTAACATGGAAGAGCATGAAAACCTTGAGTAAAATTTTCCCGGTACCCAATACAAAGCCCGCATCTGTATTCCCAATTCCAGTAGCGAATTGGCCAAATGCTCCTGCAGTACATGTGTGAGAGTCTGTCCCCACCAATACCTGAGAGCACAAATAAAGACTCGGCATTTGCTTTAGTGTGTAATAATATGTACGAAGTTTTGTTTACAAGTAAATGAAAATGACCTCTCCGGGTCTGGTATGACCCTCTTGGGCAAGAGCAACATGGCAAACACCTTTGTAATCTGGGTTGGCCTAAAAGGTAAAAACCATCATGGTTCAAACAGAAAATAACATCCACATATCTAAGTCTCAGACAGTTCAGTTTTCGTGCAATACCTTGAAATTCCCAAGATCCTTAATGTCATAGAAATACTTAATATCTTGCTCAGTGCAGAAGTCCCTCAAGATATCCACATTACGGTTAGCTCTTTCATCAGCTGTAAATATGTAGTGATCAGGAATAATAACAACCTTTTCACGATCCCACACCTGATGTTTGGAGAAAGGAGAAATTCAAGTCATCATAATCATCTTAGCATTTACAGAGGATTCAGTTCCTCTTTTTGTACAATATTGACATCTTTCTGATAAACCATTCACAAAAAAAAAATCAAACTCCATGTGAATGAGTATACATTGTCTTCAGCAAATGTGGTAGAAACTGTCTGTTGGGTGAAACCATTAAATTTAAAGCATAAATCAACAATATTGATACCCACACCAGAATAGTCCTAACTCTTGAAAATATCATACAGGTCAGCACCAAAAAATTCCATCCTCAAACTGAAAGCTCTGGTTGAAATTCATAATATAGATCTTATTCTAATAGCTGAATCCTTAGTGTGGAATCCTTAGTGCTGTTCTCTAGAGGTATATATGCCTTTTATTTTAAGTTGAAGAGACTTTAAAATGATTAATCTGGAATAAAAACAGTTTTAGTGATATACTAGAGAGTTATAAGTAGGCTGTGGAAGAGACTTTCTTACTAGAGAAGCAATAGGATAGAACTAAATATGGGTTTGATAGGATGAAACTTCATTAAGCGAATGATAGAATGAGGAGGATTTAGGAAGAATAATTGTGAAACCAAAAGACTGGGATGGAATGGTTTAAGGAAGGTGACAGAAAACCAAAGTTTTTCCATGCTTGTGTTCATCAGAGAAGAATTATCAATCATGATCAAGCTTTATAGACTTACTAAAGATAAGTCAACTTTGACATATACATGAACATCTTGCCTATTAAGCCAATAACTATTGCCAAAAACATCTCTCTTCTGAGCATCTTCGTGATAATATTAGTTTGCTGTTATCCGTTCAATCCTTATCCAACAGTCTTCCATGTGTACAATCAGAGAATTTGAGTTTGTTATTAATATCAAACTAATAATGAGGCTGCAGCCTGCAGGTCCAGATGGATTCGACAGCTACTTCTATGCTTGTGTTCATCGGAGAAGAATTATGAACAAGCTTTATAGACTTACTAAAGATAAGTCAACTTTGACATATAAATGAACACATTGCCTATTCAGCCAATAACTATTGCCAAAAGCGTCTCTCTTCTGAACATCTTCATGATAATATTAGTTTGATGTTATATGCTCAATCATTATCCAACAGTCTGCAATGTGTAAAATCGAAATTTGAGTTTGTTATTAATATCAAACTATCAATGAGGCTGCAGGTCCTGATGGATTGATTCAACGGCTACTTCTATCAATCTTGCTAGGAAATAATCACGAAGAAGGACCTCATGGAACTTCGGAAGGTGCAAGAGATTTTCTAAATGGGGTTCATTCCCGGAGGGGTTAATGCCATAACCCTTATTTTTATTTCAATAGAGTTGCAGGCAAACAATTAGAAGGACTCTAGGCCAATCAGCATGTAATGTGCTTATAAAAGTCATTGCTGAACTGCTCTCAGTCAGACTGAATAATGTTCTTGGCAGACTCATTCACACAATCCGAGTGGTTTTACTCAAAGATCCACAGTTAAGAATGTTTGCTTGCGCTGGAAATGATACACCAAAATTGGAGGCCTTCTGAGGGTAGATGCTATTTTGAAGTTTGATGATAAAAAATCTTATGATAGAGCCAAATGGAAGGTTCTGTATCAGGTCCTAAAAAAATTAAAATATGGCTTTAATGAAAGATTTACAAAAGTGCAAGATTTCCAAAATTAGAATATGGCTTTAATGAAAGATTTCCCAAAGTGCAAGATGCATTAGTATCTATGGTTTTTCAGTTGTTATAAATGGGAAACAGGAAGAATTTTCATGACATCAAAAGGATTTGGGCAAGGTTACCATCTATTTCCTACACTTGTTATCTAGTCCGAGGTCCTGTCGAAGGGTATCAGCACAACCTATGTCAAGAACAGTTTTACATTTATGATGGGCCAATAAAACACTTGCTTTTGCTGATAATAATGGCACTAAGAGGTATGCCAGATCTTTGATGAGTTTCTTACACCAATACTCTGGTTCCACTGGTCAAAGGATCAATGCTAGCAAATCTCACTTTAATACTGTGAAAGAACGACATGGCTACTAGCCACTATCACTGATCTTAGCTTCCAGATTCTGCAATTTATCAACCTTGAGTCCCACTAAATAAGGGGAGGAGGATAATGTTGTTTGATAAGCTGATTGATTTTATTGTCAAATTAATTCAAGGTTCGGAATCCAGACTTATCTCTTTTGGGGGTTCTGATTCAGTCTCTAGACCCTCTTTAGTCAGTTTGCGGGGCTGATACCATAAATTTATCCACTGGGAGAGTCAAAATAAGATATGTTTACACAAAATTGAAGGCAAAAGTGAGATCAAGTATCGTGAAGAATTGAGTACAGCCTTTGACAAAAAGCTGTGGAGGAAATGCAGATCTTATGGTCTCCGTGTGGTCCTTAGTGTTGAATAAAAGATAATAGTAATTGCCCTATATAGGACTAAAAGCTTATGAAAGTGCACAAATATTATAATTCCCTAAATAGGACTCCAGATTACTACTCCGTAATCCGTATTATAGTATTGTGCCCTCTTATATAATAACATGAAAACTCTAAAAATTTCCAATTAATCTCCTCACTCCTAGGCCTCACGTACTCCTGCGGCTCACCTCTCTGGTTTCTTGTTTGCCGACGCCATGGACTTCGCCTCACCTCTTTGTCGCCACCGATTCTAAACCTCTGTGTCCCCGCCTTTAATTCCACCATCGCCGATTCCAGGTTCCACCTCCTCCTCCCCCTTCTTCTTCTTCATTCTCCTCTACTCTTCAATTTAAAATAGCATATTTTCCTCATTGATTTAATTATTTTTTGTAGAAATTTTTCTACTACATTAAATTTTCCGAGTTTTGACATTAACTTCTCTGATTTTAGGACATTGCCTTCGTGTTTCTGATTTATGATGTCGTTAAATTTATGGTTTCAGTAATAATTCTGGTTTTTCTGGTATTTGAATATTGGCTGTACATTTTGCCAAATTTTTGGCAGTTTCATGTTATACTGGAAATTATATTATGGCAGAAAAACTTTTATTTTTAAAATTGATTTGAATGTATTGCCAATTTTATGGCAGAACTGACTAATATCATTGTTTGTAATTGCGCAATGCAATTGCGCCTCATGGCGCGCCTCAGCTAATTCTCGAACTATGGCATAAAAGGCATTGCATATTGCGTTGGGAGTGTGGCGTACGCAATATTGTGGTGAGGCTTACGCAATATCACATACGCAATAAGGCATACGCAATGGTAGGTTAGGGTGTAAGGGTATTATTTGGGCTCAATCGACCCACTTCTTAACTTTTATAATAAGCATATTCTGCGATTGTGATCCCTATTTAAAACTACTAGATAATGATTTGATTTTGCCGCCATCAATCTAATAAACTTAAAATTTTAGTATGTTAGGGATTTTGTTATGATAGCAGTTCAAGAATGTTTCCTATCTTGTGGTACTTTAAACATTTTTCTTTTCTAGGATTATGGTCTCATTATAATTTGTTTTAATATGACATTTGATAACTTATGGTGAGTAAGTTATTTTATTTTTTATTGTGTTTACACACACACATATGTATATATATTTGTGTGTTTGTGTGTGTATATTACGTCTCAGGCATACGCCTCATTGCGCAATGAGGCTTACGCAATATGCAATTCTGAAAAAACGCCATGACAACGCATGAACGCAATACGCAATTTCAAACCTTGACTAATATACTATGCCAGAAATTTTATGTCAAGTCTAAAGAAAGAAACTGCCAATATTATGTTCGTTTTAATGCTATGAATAAAATAGTTTTTTGTGCAGCAAGATGGCAGTTTCGGGTGTTCAAAACTGGCGGCAATGACAGCAGTGGCCCCACCAGTAGTGGCGGCGGCGGTGCCGGTTTTTGTGGTGGCGGATGGAGTAACGGTGGTGGCAAGATGGCAGTTTTGGCCTTTTGGGTGTCCAAAGCCTGTGTTGAGAATATTAGAAAAAGAAGATGGATCGGCCTATCCTGAGGTTTATGTCAAATTGCTGAATACCTCCCATTATATCATTCTTAGCTTGGGAAAATTTTAACAAGTGATATCTTACAATGCAGGTCTAATTTTAGTCTAGCTTCTAAGTCCTAAATGTGTTTGGTGCATCAACTGTGAATCAGTGAATAAATCTTTGCTAGCAAAGTTTGGAACTTTGCTCCACTTAATGTTTTGCTCCACTGAATTTGGGCATTTTTAGTTAGCTATATTGCCTATACACCTAGCGAAGGAAATTATTATGCTGATAAACATGCTAAATATGTTCTTAATTGTAAAAAGTTTTGATCTTTCAGCTCTATGGCAGATTTAAAAAAACTAGATAAGTTGATAAAGTGATAGACCTTCACGAAATTAGAGTCCCTTGGACTAGACCAAGGTAGTTTAATTCTTGTTGTTCTGGTTTGGGTATACAGATTGGCTTTAGGGCTTACCCTATGCATATTCTAAACCTATTATTTGTACTTGTTTGGGTTCTCTTTAAGCCATTACTCTCCAGAGGATATGCCCTCCATGAGGGGTTTGGTCCCCCTCCCCTTCTGTAACTTTTTGATCTTCTATAAAATGTTCTTCAAGAAAAATATATGTACTCGGCTAAGCTCAATACAATCTCTAAGTCAATAATGAGATGCTGGAAAAAGGTTAAATGAAATTAGCATCAATATATTGCCAATTAAGAATGACTTATATTGCCAACATAATTTGACAAACTCTCGGGCACCGAAACTGTAAAATATCACAACTTCCGGTTCACATTCAATATGAGCTAAATCAGTATCAAATTACCTTAGCATCTTGCCCGAACTCTTTCTTGAATATGCCAATAGAACCCGGTCCACACACGTCATGGGTCATCAAAACATCAACATTTACCCAGACATTCTCACCAGGAACCAACTGAGATTTCTCTGATGCCTTTGCCAATATCTTCTCTGTCATGGTCATATCGGTCTTTACCTATAATTGATTGTTTAAAACTATGTTCAATCCATCAAATTCCCATATTTGTTCAACAAAATCAAGATGTGAAACAAAGCCTCAACTGAGCCGGTGGCGGCAGGGGAGCGTTCAGTTTGCTGCGGTGCCATAACAGACAAAACTTTCTTGCAAGCATTTCTCTTGGAAGTTTGAATAGATATAGGATTCTGAGCAGAGAAAGCAGAGAGTCCCAAAATTTTCTGTCAAAAAAACGCAAAATGGGTTACCATGATAGTAACCCCCAAAACTTAAGGTATAATCTCAAACAAAATACAACTGCAATAGATCGGAAAACCTTGCTAGTGAGGATGGAGGAGATTGAGACAGTGGCAGAGGAGGCCATTTGATTGGGGACGAAGATTTCAGGCTGTGGAGAGCTGAAGAATGAGACTTTATTGCAAAGCTCAAAGACAGCACAGGTCTAGCATTTCAATCCAGTGTGGTCCAAAAATTTAATTTAATATATCTAAAATCTAAAATAATTTCAATTGCAACAAATAAGCAAATTAAAAAAACAAATATTACAAATGCTTAGCAGGAATATGAATTTTCATCAAAAACGAATAGAAAGAATACATCACAAATTCACCATTGTTTTCTACAGGTTTTCATAGACTCATATCACTTCATAATGACATTATTTTAGTTTATTTCTTTGAGACTTTCACATTTTCTTTATTTCTTTTTCCTTTTATTTCTTGAACGACAACTTGCAATTTTGAAGAGGTTGATTGATCAAACAGTTGAAGTTTGTATGTAAACAAGAAGCCTATCATGACCGAGTCTGTCATCACTCATTCGATTTCTCAACCTATCCATCACTATAATCATTGCTGGAAAAAAAAGGTTTCAACACTAGCTGTAGCAACAGGAAGATTCATTTCCAAGTTAGATAATACTCATAATCATATTAACACTAATGGGATTTATACTACACAATACGATTATTATTCATTAACTATTTGGGATTATGGGATTAATACAAATATGCAGTCTAACAAAAGCACTACTGCACTACACGGCTTCTGCCTACTGGCTACTCCCATGGCCCGTTCTGAGAAAATAGGGACCCTGTACAACAACAAAAAATGGGCCTTTTTTCCCAGTTCCAACACAAGTATTTTGTTTTAAAACATTGATTACGATGTCCACTTTATAATCAGGATTCTCAGCCATGTCATTACTCATTACCACAATGATCTGGTATGTCAACATCATTTTCAGCATCTACATCTTATTGTTCACCCTCTTGAACCTCTCTAGCTTTTTTTCTTACCTCTCTAGATTCTTTAATAATAAATTTATCAAGAACTCCATTTTGAGACAAGGTTAACTTTTCAAGTTTTCTTCTTTTGAAGCTTCTCATGACCAGATGGGTATTTCTTTGGAAATATAATTACCACCACATATCAATTATTGAAATTCTCCCCTAATCATGTACATGTTTTTAAAAAAATTGGTTAAAATTCAATTTACATTTTGGGTGAAATCGTGAAATAATTATAATTTGTAAACCTAATTGCTTAGTAGTTACTTAAAACATACTTGAATCAATTTCTTACATCTTAATTGAATAGTTGTTAAACACTTAAACACACTTATTATCGATGCAATTAATAAGTAATAACTGCAATAAATAAACAAATTACAACAAAGGCAAGTAGGCATTAGGGATTAGGCAACA